AGGTGGCAGAGTCCGTCAAAATGCTGAAACGGACATGCATTATTTTTCGATTTTATTGATAACGTCTCATTCGCCCACAATAGGACAAGTGGATAGCCTATCTAATACAAAGCCTGCCCGGCAAATGCGTGGGCAGCTCGTACGATTCCACCAGCATCCGCGCTAACAATGGGGTATCCAGCTTATCTTCCGCTCAGATGCTCCTCATCGAGCCGCAACAGTGCCCTAACGACCATTGTCGGCGGAAAACTTATCACCTCCCGACGGAGTGATCGCAGCTGATCCTCGCAGGGGCTGCAAATGACGCAGGGGGTCTCTCACACGCGGCCTGAGCAGGGTGAACAGACGTGAAAGAAATCACATGGCAGAGCTAGAAATACCTTCCGGGGAGAGTAATGACGTGAGAGACTCCGAAACCTATGCACCACACGCACCATCCGACGGCGCGGATCGACGGGCACCAGAGCGCCCGCTGTAAATCACCACCGGTACAAATGGTCTCGGACGGAAATTCAAGACCCCGGAGGATTACAGACCGCCCAATTTTCACAACACAACAAACCACGCTTGCGAGCATATAATTTCATCAACTCCTATTCCAGGGAAAACGATCACCACAATAAGGAGGGTGGGCAAAAAATGCTTGGAGCAAGAAAGAGGGAATCTTCTATATACGTACTGTACTTTTTTTCGGCGGAAGAAAAAACCAAAGCGAACTGGGCAATCTCGGGATTGGACCTTATTCCTCGCTTCGGCATTGAATAAATAAAAGCACCACTATTTCTTCTAGACGAATGAATTCGCGTTTTCGATAAGACGCTTTTGTTGTTCTGGAACAGGGAACAAGACATCATGATAGGGGTCCCTCGGGGAATCAACGGGGAATCACATTCACTCCGAATCAGGAGGAGCAGAAACGCACGTCGACCTAATCAAAGCCCCTATGAGGATTCCTCGGGACCCTCAATGCTGGCTCGTGATAGTTGATTTCCGGTTGGCTAATTGGCACCACGCGTTAACGCACGTCCGGATTCCACGGAACAAAATACAGACACGAGATGATTCGTGTCCAGCGGGCAACGCATTCTCGGCGGTCAAAAGGTCCTCCAAAGTTGGCTACCCGCGGGGGATTAATCGATACAAACCGTTCAACTGGGCTATCTGCTGCCCGCACGATTTCGCCCACTGCACAAGGGAACCCTCGGGTCTGGGATTTCAATGCGCTGATCCAACTGCTGGGTCCCGCCTCCAATCCACAGTTGTACAAGGTTACTCACGGGATGCTAAACTAAAAAGAACGTGGGTGATTCCGAAGAGTTATAACCAGATAATTGAGAAAGGAAGCTGGGGCAGTGGGAAAGAAGGTTTCAGAAAATCCTGAAATCATGCCCAACTTGAACAAGTGTTCGGCGCGAAAGCCACCACATTTCTTCTTCACCTCTTCATTTTTTTTTAAATATGATAATACTGTACTGGTTTCCTTCAGGATACTACTGATTTCTTTTTATGGTAGAGCAGAATTCCAAACCGATGACAGGATTCTCCCCCTTCTTCCACAACGCCCAACCTTCCTTTCACGGTACTGTACTTCCATAACCATATTCATAACTCCCCTAAATTGTAGGCTTTCGAAGTGCACTTTCGACGATCTTATAACAAATTCATGACTAAACAGGCGCGGTCGCAATCAGGGAGCGACGGAGTTTCATAAAGAGTCCAATACCACCTGGCCTAAAAGCAATTCTACGATTTTCGTTCGCAGAACAAAGCTGAAAAGACAAAACATTTTAATTTCAAGGGTGTGGTTTTCGCCCGGACGAAAAATGAAACCAATTAAATGTTCACACCCGCGGCGAGATGAAACGAAACCGGGTTATCAAAGAATAGCTTCCGTCGAAGAAAATTGAATTAAGTTCACAAAAATGGGAAATTCGTCGTAGAAACTTTTCTAAAAGTTTAAACGCTTCGTCTTCAACAAGTTGTCGGTAATATTTACGGAAAGTTCGCGTTTTTCCCCCGACGCAGTACCGATTTTCTCGAGAGTTTCACACACAAAGCTCCCCCAGCTGAATTTTTCCAATCCTTCTGTATAACTGAAGACCGCTTTCCCTTCGATTTTTTACAAAGTTCGTCGACAAAAAAAAAGGGAAAAAGATGAGAGAGCGTAAATCAAATTCGGGGCTGTAGCTTCGGAGCAGAGGGTTGCATGAGAATGGAGGGATTCTTCGCTCCGCTTCTTTTAAAGCTAGTCTTCCTTGGGTGAAAGCTGCCTTTTTCGCGGGAATGGACACCCGAATACCCCAGAGAAAAGTTCAGAATGCTTCGCACACGACATAAAAGGCTTCAGCTGATCCGCCGGGTTTGATGGGGATCAGGTTCTTCTGAAGAGTCAGTCTGATTCGAAGTTCGACGAAAACCGGGGTATGGTCCTGATCTGCCAGAGCAGCAGGGGGAAGTGAAACAACATAGCCATTTGCCAGACACACTCAAACTAGATGTCGATACAAACAACCGACGGATTCGGATAATCCATGATAACTTTCAATAGGCCAGTTTTCGACTGATGATTCAGGAAACGATTTCACTGATTCAGAATAATGTAAGAATACATAATCAGACGCAATGCTGGAGCACATTCGGGCAGAGATTCAGAAATCGACGACACGTGACTACATGAGTCATCAGAATAAGAGCAGGTGTGTCATTCAAAAGACCATTGTTTACCACTGTACTGTAGACAGATCTGTCCAAGGGAACGACAAAAAATTTATGATTCCACGACTTCACAACCTCCTCAATTTTTGATCCAACTGCTTTGAAAGCCTTTCAAATACATTTTCGTTCAATTCTCCGCAGCAATACAATGGTTTGTGGTCATGTCTGCAAAAGAGCGACCAAGAGGGATATAAAGAGTGCGCATGAAAAAGCTTCCATCGTTCGCAAATAGTTTTCGCACAAGTGGATTTAATTAGTGCAATTTAATTTAAAGTTAAGAGTCAAGATATGGTTTAAAAATAATAATCAATGAAAATATATTCCAGTGGTACACTTCAAGGTTATCGAAGCTTTTTAAATTTATAGCTCTTCGGAAGATCATAAGTTCGGTCATGATCTAGCTCACAAATTTCCTTCCGCTTTGTGTGGTACTCTCGGCGATTTAAACAATTAACGAGTAACAACATTCCAGTCTAACGCAAGATTTTTGCGCAAAAAAATCTACGGTCAGCAACCCCAGGGAATAAATTAAACGGCCTCATACGGTAAAAACTTTAGACGGTGTAGGGTGTAAACGAATTCCAGAGGCTAATATTTTCACTCGGGATATCAAGCAGACGGCAAAAGAATGAGAGTCTGATTTGTAAGAATACGAAAAGCTTCTACCGGTTAAAAAAAAATAAGACGAGCGAGACCGTGAAGAAGCTCTCGGACGACACAGTGAGGCCCAAAATCGAAACTCCGCCGAGGAATGCGTTGCGGAGGGCCACCGTCCGAATATTCCATTATGCCTCAGAAGAAGTCCTAGTCCTTCATCTTGTGCCGACAGGGATAAATAATGGAAGTCGAGATGTGGGCGTGCCTGGGCCTGGAGGGGACATTGGAATCCTTTTCCTCGCCATCACTCGACGAGGCGACCGACAAACACACGAGTTGGGCCAGCGGTTCGCGTCATACACATGCGTCGTATCACCCTGGTTTTTCTGCCTACGAGTGCGTGAACACGCTCGGGAGAATAGCTCATCACCCGCGGAACCCCGACGGCATCACATTACAAATGAAAACCCGACTCTGCCGCAGCTGAAGAACAGTAGGAAAAAAAAACACACACACAATAGGTAGGCACAATACTGTATAAGCATCGAAATAAGCATCGTACACTTGCCACTGAAGCATTTATTCCGCTCTTGAATAAATAACCCACTTTCGTTCACTCAACATCCCGTAATTTTCTAGCTTGTGAGGTAATTGAAGGGGGAGGAACCTGTTTTACAACAGCTTTCATTTAGCATTACACTTCGAGTTTGTAAAGGACGAATCAGAACATGTAGGGAAACAAAAAAAAATATTTTATTTCTATAAACCTTTTCTCGGAAGTCATCATGCGAGTAGTAGAGCTCCGAAAATCCGGGCTTTGGTCGAATTTTTCCCGAATTTCTATCCATGGAGAAATACAAACACGGCATCTAAATTTCCAAAATATAGGTCCCGTACGTAATTCGGTCCGCGACGCAGGGCACATTCAATCATCTGGATTGATACCCTCCAAGATTTCCGAAAACTTTGACAATATTATGACAGGCCAGTAAGAAATACTTATTTCATGGTTAGAGTTAAAATTTAAAGCATTCCATTCGATTGTTCGCAATATGTTCTTGTCGGGGAAAATGTCACCCGGTCATACGCCCTAATAATCACGCTGTAGTTATACCGCAATGTATAGTACTGTACTTCCAAGGGGGGGGGGGGGGGAAGATTGAAGAAAAAAAACTATCAAAGTTCTGATCATGAAATATACTGTAGTATCCGTGAATATGTGAAATCAGTGCATGTCGAAAAACGGACTCTAAACCAATAAACGTGGTAGGCTATAAAATGGTACAGTGCCAGTAATCGTCGTCTGGGCACCACACGACCTAGCGACAGGACTATAATTTAAAAAAAAAATGGAATACCATACGATTTGGAATTTAAACTTTAAATATTTTTCAAGACTGAACTGAAAACCACGAGGAGACGTACAAGAAACATTCGACAAGAATTCGTGGTAGAAACTTGAGCATGCGATCATCAGCTTCAACAGGATCGGCGGGGAACCGTCAGACAAACTCTGAAAACATCCATTTCGAATGACGAAGAGAGCATTTCCCCAATTTACCGGAAATCCTGCAGACCGAACGAGTCCATGACTGATAACTGGGCTTGTCGACAGAGGGATTTGATTACACGCAGGAGTTGCCCTCAGCACACAGGTGGCAAGGGAAGCGAAACTCAACCCCGAGTATTTACACGGGTAAGCAAAGAAAAGCCGACAGTCGGAACTGACACTTCGAGTTTTTCCCGCTCAACTTGACAGCTGCAAACATACAACGGGAACGGATAAAGAAATTAGATTTTCTCTTGCCTTTTTGACAATCTGTATGATGGTAGAATCATAATTACCCCATAAAAGCAGAATAATATACACGCATTGAAAGGAGCGACATGCAAAATTATAATTTTAGCAGTTTTCAGTTTCTCTTGGTTGTATAATTGCTCCGGCAAATGCATTTCGAGATTTGGGTACACGTACAACATTCTAGTCAGACAATAAAAAATGCTCCTACCCCTTGAATGCAAACTTTCTGGGCCGTAAAGTACAGTACATATCTATGGGGGGGATCAAATTCCGCTTGCCACTCAAAAAAATATTTCCGAAGCAGTCAGTCAGACGAGAATAAATTGTGTTAGGAATATGTAGGGGATGTTCGTGTATTTTTCATACAATTTTTAAACAGTAATTGTTTTATCGAAAACATATGAGAAAAAACTCAAGTAGAATGCTGGTACAAAGCATTTCTGAAAGAAAGTAGCTCAGAATGATTTGTTTGGAGTATCTGATAATTTTTTTCCAGAAATTCTCAAAATTTTTCGAAAGAAGGGTATAAAACGAAGACAAAAAGTTTTTTCTGACTTAAGGAGACCGAATTGCCGACCCGAGTTCCTCGTTGACCCCTCAGTCTACAGAAATCGCACATTCAAAAAGGTGCTCTATTTTAATCTGAAAGCGCTTCTCGATGGCCGAAAATTTAAAATTAAGAAAGTATTGCAACAGTCGACGAGCTGAAAAGTATGCGATTCTGAAAAAAACAGCTTTCATCTTTGATTTAAACTTCGAAGGGTTCAAACTTGTATTTAGGCTGGAGGCACATACTGTACTGTAGTCTGAAAATGAGAAGAATCAACAGAAAAACTGACTTTCTGTGAATTCTATATTTTTTTATTCAAAGATATTGAAGTATTAGCCATCGGAAAGTCTATGTTTCTCGCAAACGGCTTGAGAATTGTAAAAGGAAAATTCTGAAAAATATTTGGACACCTCTGAATTAGCCTTCTAAGTAAATGAATAAAATTTGCGCTAATTGTCGAACAATCGAAATATTTCAGGGCGTGTGGAACTCGAAAATCCTCTAAAATTATGCGGATCCAGTCAGTCACCCCGTGACAAGTTCGGATATTCAGAGTTTTACAATGTAATTTATCGTTATCATAGGTCGGGCTTGAGAAATCGAACGACTAAATGTCGAGTCTTACGAATGAAGTTGATCTAAAATTATGAGAAAATTCGAATTTAAGAGATGCACGTCAGATTCCTTATTAAATTCAAAATCACAAAGTGTGTTTTAAATGAGATTCAGTGTAGAGGAATACTCACAAAATACGGTATCTTTTATGATCTGAAGAAGGAAAAATTATGAAAATACCCCGGACTCTTCAAATATTGGGAGTCATTTTCAATGATGAGCAGCAGAGAACACGCCTCTGGTTTTAAACGAGTTTGTTGATCGTGGACAGACAGTGACTATGAAATGAATGTTTATTCGAAAGTCAGAATGATTCAAAACAAATTGATCATATGCGAAGGAATGAGCTGGTTCGTTTAATTTTTCCGAATAAAAAATACTAGTTTTTTTTTTACAGCCACTGACGATTTCCAGATAACGGCGAAGTCGTCATGACGCACTCACACGCATACAAATAGAAGTCGTAACGTGGCGTTCTTGACAAAGAATATTTCAAAAAACAGGGAGTGCTGTGATTACGAAGTCGGACCAACTCGCTATACTGTAATGTATATGTTTTGAATGCAGTTAGTCAAGGATACGTATGCTGACGATAGAATAACGCGGTGAAAATCCGAGATGAAGTTCACAAATCCTTAGAGGAGGGAATTGCGAGTACCTTGTTTCATAATTCGCCGATTCAGCACATTGGTCCTCAACTTGCACTCGGCAACGCATCAGCCCCGCAATAACAAATAGAATTCAGTTTATTTTAGCTTACACATTTTATTTTAAAAGCAGGTTAATGGAATAAAATATATATGAAGGATAATATGCTTACGCCAAAAAAACGTTAAAAAATATATGTGCCCGCAAAAGTCATGCTGGACTGTCAGGTATGCACTGTACTTCTGGATTAAAACAGGAAATTGAGTTTTGAAACAGGAGATAGGCATAGGGAATTACTATGGCTTCGCCATAGTAATCCACGTTTTTTAAAAAGGGGTCAGTCATGAAAAGGCATTCCAAACGTAGCTCAACGAGTAAAAAAGGTGGCAAAAATATAAATTCAACGCAGCTCTTCCATTTATCTTAGGAAATCACATGTAAAACCAAACAAAAATTCAAACGAGATCACGGCCGAACAAAAGAGACAATTTGTACGATTCACGATGGATCTCATGACATATTCGATCCCATCGCGGCATGGATCGGTATTCATCACTTGCATCGTGTATCCCAGCTTTCGCCATGGATGCATCTCTATACAGGTACGTCTATACGACTGTCTTGGAAATCTTCTCGTGAACGCCATTCGTAAGGAAAATATATTACAATTGCAAACGGGTCGCGAATCAATTGCAAAGTCAGCGGCTCAGTGAAGCACAACCTTAACTAAATGAGGTACAGACAGTATACTCTCTTCCAAATGATAGAAAAACACGCATAGCCCCGAAGGAATGATGTTCCTTGTCAAGAATCTGCCGTAATTTTGGCGACCGTCCTCTTGATTTTCACAGAACGAACCATTTCCAGGAGTCAACACATCCAGTTAGCTGTGCGAAGGGTAAAGAAGGCAGCTAATAAAATTCACATTTGAGTCATTTTAAATTTCATCGTTCAGGTTATGCTTTGATTTTTTCGGCTAGTTAATTCCGAGTGTTGTAAAAATGCCCTCGTTATTAGCAGAACATATGTTGATCGTTTAATTGTTATTCGCGTTAATTGTTTATATGGACAACGGTATCAGGTCTTTATACCGTACACAGTATTAATAGTTGCAAATAAATATAGTGCAGGATACTGGATTTGATACGGAGTTGACGAATACTGCGTAAGTTTCGATTGATGGAAATATGCAACGAGTGCCCGCACAACAAAAAATTGACACAACGAAAAATCTGCATCATGAAAATTCTTCGGGAGAAAACCAGAAGTGATACATGAAATAATTTCCCTTACCGACATTGTTCGGTACAAAACAACCCTCTGTTTGGGTGGAAAACACTCGAATTTTTATAAGTTTTTCGCTGATACATAAAAGGTTTTTAAAACAGAATTGATTAAAATTACTGTATAAAAGAAAGGTATAAAGCTTTTCTCTCCTTGTTTTTAAAGTATTTTCAAATTCAAAAAGGCAATACAGCATCACAAACTTTGCAGGATTATTTGATTTTAATCAGTTTTAAATTCACATATTTACTGCATGCTGAAAAATAATGCTAATATGCAGTTATTTAGGTTTATTGTGGGGTTTTATGGAGTTTCTGGAACGAATTACTGTACTCAATTTCCATGCAACTTCAAGGGAAATTGCGTTTCGCATGGCGAAAATTCCACATAAAGTAGCTCATCTACTTTATGTGGGGACCTAAAATTTTATGTTGCTTGACGAAAAACACGAGACGCTGAATATTCTGCAGCAGCGGTTCCATCAAGGAGGAGTGGTGAAACGAAGGCGAGATTTACGGAAAAATTACTTCTCTGGTACAGTACAGTACTTCTAATCAGACCTCGAAAAATCGGACGAAGAGTCCCAGTGACTCGAGGTTCGAAAGGGTGTCCTGGAGTTTCAAAACTTTAGTGCTCGTCAGGTAATCGAGGCACGGATTTGCCAGGCTTCCACTTGGTATTGTAATTCATTCCTGGAAGCCGACGCAAGTTCTCGCAAGCGTTCAAAGTCGCCTGCATTAATCATAATTTGAAGCGCTTCCTGTTGCACAAGTACGGTACTGGTCGCGAAGGCAACTCTTGTTGGGAACACGCCGATGATCGGCACCGCGGTGAATGAATAAGCAGCGTGACTCACCCAGAGTGATGCTTTTTGACGCCTTCATCGACTTCTTATTCCGCCTGCGGTCGCTGAGCGCGGAAAACCAGCTCCCGATCTTCGCGCTGCCCGAGGACAGCGTGCTGACCGTGGAACTTCGCTGCATGAGTCGGACATCCACGTTGGCTCGGCTCGGGAATTCCATGGCGTTCGCTTCCATGAATTGCTTCGAATCGAGAGATATTTACGCCAGACTCTCAAGATGACTGCACCCTGAGTCCATGACTAGCGCGTGCATTCGATTCCATACGAGAGGCAAACACTCGCACGCATACCTCGACCACACTCTTTTTCAACCTTCAAAAAATTAAATAGAACAGAAGCTCCGATCAGCCTTTAGTTTTTTTTTTTTTTTTTTAATCACAGCTACCGTATTTACACGAAGAAAATGTACACTTGTTGAAAGAACAGGGTGCGAAACATCTGGGATCGCGAACTACTCTGATGGCGCTCGACTCGCGCCACCAACTGACAGCGAAGCGAGCGGCAGAAAGCGCTTCGTCAGCGTGGCGCGCGACACCTTGCTGGCGCAGAAAACCGAAACGCGGAAGGCCCGGAAGTAGCCGGGAAATCGCTGGGAGACTTGGGAAGGTCACATCCGTTTCCTGATGATCGGATCATCGAAGAGGAACTATGCAACGACTAGTTAATGGGAAGTTGACCGAAGCATGGCACATATACCACGATTTTTCCCGGTTTTGTCATGACGCTACTTCGCGACGCGTTGAACGGTGGCCAACTGGGCACCAGTCGCTAGGAAATGAATTTAATTCTTCTCGAGAGTTATGATAAGAACTGGACCTAATCCAATCCCAACAAGAGAATGATTCACTTCCGGTCGCTCTTCGGACATGGACTCGGAAAATTCGGTGACAATGTACGGCTTTACTCGAATACGAGACGCATTTCCTCCCAAAAATAATTGATGCTATAGCCTCCTACACTGAGTTTTATACTATATTACGTATTTCCTAAGCTCACGAAATCGTCTTTTTCACGAATTCTAAATCCAACTTCAATGAAAATTTGGATCAATTGAACGAGAAAAAAATCCGAATGTCCCGGATTGGATTTACGTTACTGTACTGTACTTCAGTCATGAAGTATAGTACAGTACGTAGATTCACGACGAGGAAACAAAACGCACTTCACGCAAACAATCGTATTTTGAGCCGAAACAGCGCCAGGCATGTTCTTAATCGTAATGTGAGCCACTTCATTTCCATTTGATTAAATAATTATCTGGACTAATGCACCTGAAGATGAGCAGTAACGTCGATAATATTGTGCCAGGTCATTGTAATGACGTAAAAAATGTGTTGCAACAATTTATATGTTCGATCGTCTGGGCGTTGGGCGAATGCAACTGGTAATTAGCCAGCGGGTAATCTAAGATCCACTGCTAAAATCCCCGAGGAAAGGCCAAGATCTGAATTAGAAAATGGTCCAAAATGGTAGCATGACACATGCTTTTGTAATTGAGAGAAATGAAGAAATACATTATGGGCTGCGGTCATTTTGGAAAACTGATGCAAGAATCTGTCTCGACCAGTGTGTCCCCGAACTAAATTTTTGAAATCTTTTAAAAATTCGGGAGCAGCACTTGCTTTCCTTGACTTGAGAGACAAGCCAGGCAATATGGCTGGACACATATTTCGCCAGAAATGTGCCAAAAACACGGTGCGACCCGTACTTGAAAGATTCGAGCACAGACCACACTTGAGCCGCTGTTGAGTGTGTTCACTTGAAATATTAGAGCATAAACCGAAACGCCGTCCGAAAACTGTGGCATACAGCCAATACTTGAGATTATAAAACATATACTGTACAAAAACAATGACAAATCTTCCGGGGTAATATTACAGGTTTTGCGGTTTGAATTCACGTTTAAATCTTTACATTATCGTTTATTTCGCAGTTTGACCACTTTTCACCTTAAAATCACTACCCGTGATCAGGATGCAGCCCATGATAACTCAAAGGCGATGGTATTCAGCGGGCTTAAAAATCGCTGGTCAGAAGTGAAAATCCCTTAAAATATAAATTGCCAGAAGTAAAATAATGTTTCAAGAAAGCCATTTGATACAGCAAGAAAAGAACATTGCGATGAAAAGTATATACAGTATAAATTCAAACACTGTTGCTATCAAGCAGTTAACTACAAACCAAATTCAAGAAAATCAATAAACCAAATCAATAAGTCAGTATCATGATATTTGTTGTAACAAGATTTTATGTGCAGTATATCAATCTCATGAACATTTTCTAGGCTAATATTTTAAGCGCCTCATGGAATGTCGCATTTCAAATTCAACAGAGTCAGTAACTCAGAAGTTAAAAGAGTGGGGTTTCTCTTCATTGTGCTGACCCGAATAATGCTCTATTTTTTTCAATGCAGCATCGTTGCCACTTCTGAGTCGGGAACCACTGGTTTAGACCGAAGAAACAATGAGATCGAAAATTTTAGGAGAAATCCAAGTATGAGTACTGCACGCGGCGTCACAGAAATAACGGGGAAAAACAACTAGATGAGCATAATGTATACTCTATTACACCGTGAACCTTCGCAAAGATCACAAGGTTTTTTTAACATTTATAATGATACTCATCACACGCTCGACTCGCGACACGAACTGACAGCGAAGCGGGCGGCAGAAAGCGCTTCGTCAGCGAGGCGCGCAACACCTTGCTGGCGCAGAAAACCGAGACGCGGAAGGCCCGGAAGTAGCCGGGAAATCGCTGGGAGACTCGGGAAGGTCACATAGGTTTTCCTGATGACCGGCTCATCAAAGAGACACGACTCTTTTATCGGGAAGTTAACCGAGGCATGGCACATACCCTATTTTATTTTTATTTTTTCGATTCGTCCGAACGACGGACAACCGTTCTTCACGAAGCGTTGAACGTTGGCCAAGTGGACATTAGTCACTGCGGTGGCTAGGTAACGATTTCAAGTCTTGTTGAGTTTCATTAAATTTTACAAGCCCTGAACATATTCCAATCGAGATCCACGAAGCAACGATGTGAAATTCCCTTTCGTCACTTTCCGGATATGGGATCAATGAATCAGCGACGTTTTCTGCGAACCACTTCATTATCTTTGGATCAAAAACGGACGAAAGTCTGAAAATTTACAAAAAAGTCATTCGAATTTCCCGCCAAGGGGTCTGAGGACCGCGAGGAAAATCCTGCATATTGACAACTCTAAAAATATCTTCTTTTGCTGTGACATCTGTGCATCACAGACAAAAATTTAACTGCTTAAGAAAAGTTGAAAAAAAAATCCTAAAACAATCCGAAAATACTGTATCACTATGGACAATCAAGATAGTCACCTCACTGGCTGCATGAAAAATTCCATAGACATGAAAAAGCTGGAAAAGTTTGCAGAAATCCCACTCATTCTAGTGAAAAAGATTGTGTTAATTTTCGCAAATGAATTTTTTCATTCAAATGTGCATTAACTTATCATCGCACTAATAAAACCCAGAATCTCAAATTTTTGGATAAATTTCAAAGTTAAGTGAATGACATTCGGTTTTATATTCATTCTAATTGTAAATCAACTGTAATAAAAACATGTCTGAAATTCGTACATTGCTTGGTCCCCCTACCTTTTGTCCCCTCTTTGCTTTGAAATACGGTCGTGAACAGATCAATTACTTCCTTTTTTTTAATATTTTCCAGTCAGTATTACTGTACAGTCATACGTCATGCATGATTGAATCACAGAAAATGTGTCGTGTATATCCTTTTATCTGTGCATCCTTTTATTTTGTTTCACACTATATATCATTCTTAGCCACCACACAGCACATTCAATTTGATTGATTGCATTTTTTTCAATTTTGTTCATCAGGAAAAATAAATCGCCCATCCGAATTTCCTCAAAAAATTCGTTCTTCATTTTTACTGATTCATTCAAAATCTGGTGCGATTTCTTCGCCATTATTATCTTTATCCCCATAAGACTGGCATATAAGGGATTTTTCTAACTCATCAGCAAACTTTATATTTTGAGCAAGAATTGAGGAAATAATACAAATGCTTCAATATACAGTAAAGGTTAAATTTCAGCATGAATTGATAGAGGGAAGTTCGCGTGAATAGAAATGGAATCTAGGATAGAGATTTTCCTCCAATATTTACTGAAAGGAAAATGTATTCCTCTGCCATAGATACGGATCTTGAAATCCTCTCTGAACGTCGATGATTGGCAGTAGTTTTCCATATATGGTCCAGAAAAAAATTAATCCAAAGGGTAAATTTAAAATTTTGAATCAGAACGCTTTGTGATTGCATGACAAGTAACCACCATTCCCAATAAGAAATATGACAGAATTTGAGAGAATTGCGAGGCCCACAAATTTTGGGACGCCCAAATAGCTGGATACCACTATTTTTCAATCTGGTTCTTGTAATCATAAATTTCATGATATTATAATACTTGCACACCATTTTGAATTATGCATAAATGCAGAAAACGCCGTAGAAGTCGAATACTTGCGTAGGAAATCGCAGGAACAAGTGGAACAAATGAGTAATAGTATATAACCCTATACTTCAAATTTGGAATGTTATTTTTTATCAGCATTACATAAATTACTATCTTCCAACAAAGCAGAAACCTTTTGAAATATTGCAACTTCCGCAGATATTACAAATGTGACAATCCATGAAATCTTCGCAAAAATTTTAATGGACAAGAAGAAAAAACTGTGCACTGATCGACTGCGACAATATTTTCAATAGCCAAAAACATGCATCAGAAAATTCGATTACGGTATTTCCGACCTTCCGTAGTTCAAACGTTAAAAAATCCTTTTTACTTTTCATCAGTGCCATTGTGGGATAGAAGGGATTCTTCCCCACAATGGGATTTTTTTCTGAAAGAGTGCATGAAAAGAGGCACTCTCTCAGAAATATCAAGAAAAAAATTCCCAGGACATCGAAATTTCAAAGCGTGAACTTCTCGCACCTCATTATTGTTGTTTTTCGCACCTCTTTCCAATAGCAACAGAAGAGGTTCCGAAAGCAGAGCACGACCAGGAGTATAGCGACGTGCCAACGCAATCCATAAATCGAAGATAAATTTCAGGATAGGACGTGACATAAATAATTATCCGACACATCACTATCAATAATGTCCACAGTTTTAATGCTTATTAAGCATTAATGCTTGATGCTTATGAGTTTTAATGTTTTACAAGCTTTGATTGTGCAACCCCCGAAAATGCTATAAGCTTTGATCGAAAATCCACTGGAAAGTTTTTGATGCACCACTAATGCCAAGCCCAATGGCAGCGAAGCTGATTTTCTA